ACACAAAGACGAAAGTCCGTATTTTGCAAAAATTAGTATTTGATATCAAAATGTTCAGGAAAATGTGGGCTTTCCAGGAAACACAAAGACCTAACTCCATCCAACATCCCACTGACGTCAATGGCTAGTAAAACAATGAGTTACCGTTAACTCCTTAAGGCTCAAGTGGACCTTTATCTCCTTAAGGCCCAAGTGGACCTCTATCTTTAAACCACTTTTTCTCAAAATGGAGTTACGTCTTTGTGTCACTGACCCCTCAATACTGTATGTACTATCTACTTGACATTCGATTACTGTTGGAGGGGTAGGGTGAGGCCTGAGGGTACATGCACTCATGTCTTGTCATCTTTTAATGTTAATAAGTTTTGCCACATGACGTGTGATGATACACTTGATGTCTTGCACACAGTCAATAAGATACTACTAAATTTGTTTTAAAAAATTGTGATCTAGCAGTAATCCCATCAAGTTGGTATACACTGTATGTCACATCTAAAACATTAAAAAGGTAAAAATATCTGTTTATTATTGTGTGAATCTGAACCAAAAAACTATGAGTGAGTTGGCTTGCAGCCTGCCACACCTTTCTTTATAAAGTACAAAAGGGACCATTTTTCTTAGTAGAACAGTTTACTGACATAATTAAATTTTAAGCATACTTTTTAAGCAAAGGTTGCTCTTGACAATTTGAAAGCTTGCATGAGGCTTGTCCGACATACCTCGTCGCTAGGTCCCCGTGAAAGAAACATCCATATTATGGATATAGACCAGTTTACTAACATATTCATATTTGAATATGTTAATAAACTGGTCTATTCCTACTTTCTCATCAATAAACATTCATCTTCTTGAGCTATAGTTTCATGTTTTATATTCACAATCAATCATATTACTGTGACTTTCAATCCATATCGACCCACAAATAAAACTGCGAAATGAAAATTGAACATTTCATCTCTTTATACTCAGGGGGCACTTTGCACGAGCCACACATCATCACAAGTTCTGGCTCCGCCCTGCATCGAGGGTCTGGTTACTGCATGCCCCCTCACTGCCCTTAGCAGCTGCGTGAAAACGGTTCCCAATGAAGGGATCACTGGTGCCTCCATACTAGTTAAGGCATGTGATAAGGGCCTGTATTCTATTGATTGATTCAATTCAATGTTATAGAGGAAGCTTTAACTCTTTATGCGCCACTTAAAAAACCCCCCTGTGCCACATTCTTTTAGGGTCACACATTTCGAGGGAATCTTTATTGACTCTGCTGAATCAAGAGGCTATAACTCTTCACTGGATGATCATGATGAAAAATATTGTGCAGCAAAGTTGTAGACCGGAAAACGTGCTTTTCGATGAACCGTCATTTGTTATATTTTGAATTATCATTTTTATAATAATCATAATTATATAATGTTTAATTTTTCTTATTTACGGCAGTTTTTTATCCCTCTAGAATTTCTTATTTAGCAATGATAAGACATCTTCAAATCGAATCTATTAGAAAGGTGGACTTCTTACCTTTCTTTACATACCTTGCTCAAGTATTCTAACAATTCAGAAGGTTAGTATTTAGGTTGTTGAAGAAAAGAAGTTCAATAGGGAGAGACTTGAAAGTACCCCGCTCAGCCACCCTTGACAATGGGCTAATCTGCCCATTGAAATCCCTATTACCCCAGGTTATTGTCAATGTCCGGTTTAGCGGGGCATGAAAAGGGACGTCGTGGGGATGTTTTTCTTTGTTGTGCCATGATAAGTCAATAAGAAATAAGAGAATGTTATTGATTTTGCCCACTGGTATGAGCATGTAAAAATGGTATAGGCATAATATATTATATGTGATATACATGACATAATCAGCATCTTATTGAATTGTCTCATTATGAATGTTCACCGCATCTGTTCTCTCACCTTCTTTACCCCTCAATAAAATTGATTTCAAGTACATTTATCACAGCCATAGATATACAAAGAAAGAATGAATCAATCTTAAAATATAAACTATATTGCATTGTTTTCCATTTACTTTATTGTGAGAGAGCTTATTATCAGAAATGATTGACGAGTGGAGTATGCAATGAATAAAATATGGAGAACGGACGTGAGAGACATTATGAGAGAGAAATAGTGATATGAAATGAAAGGACTTTACTGTGAATAAAGATTATAAGAGAAAGAGATAAAGATGACGGCAAGACAGGATACATATTGATACGAAAATAACAATAATAATGAGATAGAGATGACGGAAAGAAAGAGAGTAAACACTGATAGCATAAGAATGAATAAAGATAATAAGAGAAAGATATAGAGATGACGGCAAGACATAGGGTACATATAGATAGGAAAATGATAATAATAATAAGATAGAGATGACAGAAAGAAAGAGAGTAAACACTGATAGCATAAGAATGAATAAAGATAATAAGAGAAAGATATAGAGATGACGGCAAGACATAGGGTACATATAGATAGGAAAATGATAATAATAAAAAGATAGAGATGACGGAAAGAAAGAGAGTAAACACTGATAGCACAAGAATGAATAAAGATAATAAGAGAAATATATAGAGATGACGGCAAGACATAGGATACATATTGATAGGAAAATAATAATAATAATAAGATAGAGATGACGGCAAGAAAGAGAGTAAACACTGATAGCATAAGAATGAATAAAGATAATAAGAGAAAGATATACAGATGACGGCAAGACATAGGGTACATATAGATAGGAAAATGATAATAATAATAAGATAGAGATGACGGCAAGAAAGAGAGTAAACACTGATAGCATAAGAATGAATAAAGATAATAAGAGAAAGATATAGAGATGACGGCAAGACATAGGGTACATAATTATAGATAGGAAAATGATAATAATAATAAGATAGAGATGACGGAAAGAAAGAGAGTAAACACTGATAGCATAAGAATGAATAAAGATAATAAGAGAAAGATATAGAGATGACGGCAAGACATAGGGTACATATAGATAGGAAAATGATAATAATAATGAGATAGAGATGACGGCAAGAAAGAGAGTATTACACTCATAGCATAATAATGAATAAAGATAATAAGAAAAAGATATACAGATGACGGCAAGACATAGGGTACATATAGATAGGAAAATGATAATAATAATAAGATAGAGATGACGGAAAGAAAGAGAGTAAACACTGATAGCATAAGAATGAATAAAGATAATAAAAGAAAGATATAAAGATGACGGCAAGACAGGATACATCTTTCTTTCATTAGTTTTATTCATTCTTATTCTATCACTGTCTACTCTCTTTTTTGCTGTCATCTCTAGCTCTTTCATTAATTTTTATTCATTCTTATTCTATCAGTCTACTCTCTTTCTTGCTGTCATCTCTATCTCTTTCTTTCATTATTTTTATTCATTCTTATTCTATCACTGTCTACTCTCTTTCTTGCTGTCATCTCTATCTCCTTCTTTCATTTTTTTTTATTCATTCTTATTCTATCAGTCTACTCTCTTTCTTGCTGTCATCTCTAGCTCTTT